CCTCAGCGGACTGGACGGGACGCTCGTCGGCCCGTCCGCTCCAGCTGGGAAACTAGCCGGTGTAACTGAGAAGCTCGGCGCCCCTGCTAACAAGTGGGGCGGCGCGACCGGGAGAGTGGACGGGTCGGCGGAGAAGCTGTTTGGACCGACTGAGACGTCTGTGGACACGCTCGATGGTTCGTTTGCTACCTTTGACAGCCCGGCGGAGGAGCTGGCTGGTGTGGCGAGGGAACTCGGTGTAGCGGGACAGCCGGGTGGCGCCGCCGGGCAGTTGGGCGGGCCGGATAGGCAGCTCGGCCACTTCTCAGCCACGGTGACGTCTGGCATCACCTTTGAGCAGCTGGGGGGCGTGGCCGGGAAGCTGCGCGGACTGGGTACAGCCGGAGAGTCGAACGGACAAATCGGTACGATAGGTGGCACGGGGGAACAGATAGGCGGATCACCTGGAGCTTTCAGTGGGATAGGGGAACAGCTAGGTGGACCAGCGGACCACTCGGGCGGACCGGCAGCGCAATTCGGTGGCCCAGCAGATCAGTTCGGCGGCCCACCAGGCCAGCTGGGCAGGCTGACAGAGCAGGAGGGTGACCCACCAGGTCAGTTGGATGGCCCAGCAGATCAGCCTGATGGCCCATGCTGTTTGTTGCAGTTTGAAGAGTTGACGGAGCAGCTGGGTGGCCCATCGGAGCAGTTTGAGATTGCGGACGGGCAGTTCGCGCTAGATCCAGCTGGGAAGTCCAGCGATTTAGCCGGATTGATTGATGTTCCGGCAGGAAATTCGGAGAGCGGAACGGGACAGCTTGGAGGACTGCCCGTGGGACCCGCTGTGCAGCTCGAGGGGCTAACCGGTCGCCCTGGAGGACCGGGTGACCAGATTGTCCCCACTGGGCTGACGCTGGAGGGAGGTTTCGGAGGAGAGACTGATCTGGGTGGGTTTGATGAGCTGAATGGGCTGGGCGACGTAGGTGCCACTGTTGATGTCGAACTCAGCACCACTGAAGGGCTGGGCAAGCCGCTGACGAAGCAGGAACACATCACAACAAGCAAACTCCTCTCTGTTGACAGCCTGGCCAAGGAAGAAAAGTCAGTGAAACTGGACGAACCAATAGCAGTTGATCAATCACTTAAAATTGGTTTGGCTACTGACTTCGATGGTATTATTGATGGTATTGAAGCAACCGGTCCCACGGGGCTAGTTGAACGTTTAGCTCAGGGCGAAATCGGTCTTTCAGATGGTGAATACTTGCTGAATAAGGCAGCTACAGAAACGCCAGCGCTGTCGTATGGACCCACAAGGGAGGAAGAAACAGTGGAAGTTATTCAGCTGCCACTCGAAGTGGACGAATCTCTTGCCTTTGCCGAGCCTGGTGAGATAGTTGACATAGACTCACCCGTTGAAATCGCCAATTGGGGTGTCGACGATTCGGCCGAAGGCGACAAGCTAAAAGTCACCGAAGTCCAGCTTGCAGTCCCGGTCAAAAAGCCGGCTAAAGTCGAGAAGGTGCCGCCGAGTGCCGGGCCGGCGGCGGCCCCGGCCGCGCTGAGCCCCGTCTCGCCGGCCGTGCAGGTCGCCTTCCTGCCGCGGGCTGCGCTGAGACGCCTGCTGCCGTACGGCGTCGGAGGACGTCTACTGAGGGTGATCTATGTGCCGGGCCTGGCGGGCCTGACGGGCGGCCACAGCGTCCAGCTCGGCTACTTGGTGCACGGCGCGCGCCGCCAGCCGGTGCCACTGGTTCCCCTGCAGTTCCCAGAGCGCCGCTGGTGACGTCACCAGCGCCCGGTGGTGTCGCAGCATCCTGGCGATGTCGCGAGAAGCACTCCACCCCGCGCTTAGGGTCATGTCATCGAGGTCGTGATGAATATTAGATGCGAGATGAATATTGACGAGGATAGATGGACAATGTGTTACGGTCGTGGGTAAGCCGTGAACAGTCCTGTATTGCGTAGTGTGTGGAGTTAGCTTTCATAGTGTAACGCTAGAGTGTTTTACTATGCAGCCACCCCAATGCAATAAAAGAGTCCAACGCTTTGCGACGCTTGCGATCTTTCTTGTAACGTATTAATAGGACATTCGAGAGCTGCTGGAAATAATGCATTTTTTCACCATGCCTGTCTCGAGGCTGTCCTGTCGCGGCGGACGACCACCATTGACGGCGCTAAGAGGCGATACTGAAAGAAGCTCACAGCACTCTGCCCTCAGAGTGCATTACAGTGTGATTTGAAATGCATGAGCCTATCGCGTCGACTGAGGTGGTCGACCTGACGGGGTTCACATAGCGCCGGCGTAGTTTGTAGTTGAATATAATGTAAATCCGCAACAAGTGGTGTTATAATATTAGATATCCTACCCATTTCAATGTTTTAGTGTTGTGCTTCCTCAGTTTATATCAGCAGACAGTAAGTGACTACGTTTGTGTATCTTTGCTGGAAAAACAGGTCGCGTCAGCTCAGGTCAGCTGAGGTTAAATTCATGGTTTGCTCAAGATTACTTTACTACCTACTATGTATTTCAGACCCCATGAGACCCTGTTTTTCGGCGATAATTTCTTCAGTTTTTGTCTAATTGGCTTGAAATTTTGACATTAAACATTTCAGCTCAAGCGCCAATTTTCATCAATATGGTCTCCTAACAAAATATCAATATTTAGAGCACTTGTCATTGGCTCGTAATGCTAATAAGATTTTGCACCCGGATAGAGGCTCGTTCGCTACCGCAGCGGATTGGATGGGAGCGCTGGCCAATCACGTTGCGCCGGGCCCAACTAAGCTCCGCCCACTGGCCGTGACCGCGCTGGGTCTATGCCGGCTCAGTCGGTGGCAGCACCGCGGGGAGGTCGCACGGGGGCCGCGCGCTGGAAACATACATGGAATCGACAGGAAGTGTCTGAGGAGCGAAAGCTTGCTCTTCATTTGGGGGAGTTGGTAACCGCTTCTCTTTTTGGTATATTAACACCGATCCAGCTCAGAATAGCGGCCCTGGTGGCGCAGTCGGTTAAGGCGTCGACCCGCGGTGCGGGCGGTGCCGGGTTCGGGTTCGATTCCCGGTTCCGCCCGTTCCGCGGGCGTCGTCCCCGGCTGTGTCACCAGGTGTGGGGTAGGCTCCCACTTCAGCCGTAGCCTGGGGGGTGGGGGAACGAGGGCAGGAGGAGGAGGAGCCCTCCTGTAAATGGGACACAAGTGCCCGTTGGAGGGAGCCCTGAATAAAAAAAAAAATATGAAGAATAATCATAATGATGATATCAACCTCCCCAGAGCCAACCTTAAATAGAGAGCTGAGTCATGCACTATCTGAATATCTTAGTGAATGCACATTCTGGCGCCTATCTCATGGTCAGGTCGTGCTGTCACCATATGACATTCTGACATATGACATTCTGTCACCTATGACATCATGCGAATCCTCTGCACTACTCGATATCGATATGGTTGGCTGCGTCAATCGCTGTTTCTGAAGGCGCTGTTATACCTTTGCAGAAGACAACAGAGTAGGATGATGAGTCGCGAGCACTTCCGATTGCCTAAGACATCGCTCCACGAGCTGTGTTCGTAATTCGGGAAGCGTTGAGAAAGGAGCAGAAATGTGATGTGCGATTTATTGCGCATGGTAGAAATGTGAGATCAGAATAGGTAAGGGAAGCAGGCTCATAGGCTAGTAAAGAAATCGCGTCTTTTTGTGAAACTAAATTAACTTTTCAAGCTCTCCAATAGTGAGGCAGAAGGTTATTTACTTACAGATATTTTAATTATTTGCAGTTCAACACGAAAGCCTGGCGTCAAGTCAGTCCGGTGACCTCAGTCTAGATTAAAATGGGTTAGTTCTGAAGGTATTGTTGCACCGCAATCACATGAATCCATCTCAAGCATACGCATAAGTATAATATTTTTCATATTTCAACCACACATCTTAAATGCTACGGTGTAACCGTTAACCATGTCTTGCAAATTTGACGTAAGCTGACCGACGTCTTGCATCATTTCACAGCCAAATGACATCAACGGCGTTTTTTTTTAAATGACATTCAATCAAGCAAAAATGCAGTCACTAGCCCTGGACTTAGTATTAAAGTAGGTATATTTTTATTGACTGACAAGGTGTAGGTTAATTTGCGATACATGCAATAACGAAGGCTAGTGCGCTTATTACGAGGGCTAGTTTCTGCTGTATCGTTATTACTGCAACGGCAACCGCAAGGCAGCCACGTCCAATGCGAGCCGCCGCGGTCCGGCATACGGCCTTGGGTCCGGCAGCTACTGCCCCGTCGGCTCCACGCATCCGACTGACCGGCCAAGGTCACCGCTCCGTCCGCCGGGAGGGCGGAGCTTAATGGTCACGTGCCTGTGACGTCACGCCTAGGTACGGATAGCCTCTACTCCACTGACGGATTTACGGAGCTGATTTTAACATTACGAGGCAACGACAAGTACCCTAACAATTGATATTTTGTTAAGAGACCATATCAGCGAAAATTGGCGCTTGAGCTGAAATGTGCTTTGCGAAAATTTGAAGCCAATTGGATAAATATTAAATAAATTATCGCCGAAAAACAGGGTCTCATGGGGTCTGAAATGCATAGTAGGTACTCGTTTGCTAGCATCTTGGCACAAGGTAAAGGTAAGCCTTCAAAAATGGTTTTTATTTGTTCCTTCCGATCAGCCGAATCGAATGATATGTGATAGGAAGCATTTATGTAAACTTAGTAACTACTTAAAGTTCGCTTAATTTTAAGTGAACTTTTACCATCTTTTACTTCACTTAAAATGGTAAAGACGCATAGATACTATTCGACGGGCATCAGCGTGATGAGTTCACTGATGTTGGTTTATCAAATATGTACATCTAGGAAAATTTGTTCAACATGATCCAATTGGATGATGTAAACTGAAACTAGCATCTACCTCGCACTTTGTTTCTATTACGATAACGGATCCCACTGGGCGGCCCCGTGCCCGCCCGCCCTCAGGCTGGGAGGACGCAGCGCTGGGGGGTGAGTGAGGCGGCCTACCTGTGAGCAGGTACCCCAGCAGGCAGCACAGGTCCATGGCGGGGCGCTGACTGGCTGCTCTCCCGGAGACGGACAGCGCGGCGCCGCTACTGGCCTTTCTCGGCGCGGTGGCGGCCCGGCAGGCGCGGCGGACCGGCCCCTATCGCTCCGACACACGTGACGTCAGCCGCTCGCCGGGCGCAGGCCTGGGCCAGGGGCGCTGAGGACGTAGACAAAGCATGGACCTACCAGTTTTGAGGCCTATGCAGTTCGCATACTAGTGTAAATAAGTTACAATTTTTTTTTTCTTTGCGTTACCACCCTCATCAGCCAAAGCTAGAGGTGAAACGTCACTGAAAAAAAAACTGGGCGCGGAAACCCAGGAACGGTGTCAGGTTGACTGGTTACTGGGCTTCCGGCGGAGTTGGAGTCGTAGCGTGGCTCCGACCCCGACAGGCGGCTCCTGGCCGGCTCCCGGCTGCGAGTGCCTGGCCGGCTACCGAATCCAGGGGCCCAATCTTAACGGTATTCTCAGTTTTTCTTGTAAAATTTCGGAGTTGTTCCGTGAATCGTGTAGAAGATGGCTCAAGCCCCAATCCGAAGTCATTCGCCTCAAAATTGCCTTGTTTTCAAATGATGGCTCTCCAATGTCTCCGACTACACAATACCTGAAAGCGCATAGACAATCACTTTTCATGGCTTTTATCATATTTTCAATGGCTCATTTGATTTCCGCCCCCATTCTGGTCCTTAAAGGCAGGTACTGGAGCTCATGTCGACGCCTCCACTGTTCCTGTTCCTACTATCGACTCCTGCTGTCCGGACGCAGTCGCCTCCAGTCCGGTGGCGGCTGACAACTCCTGCCGTCTACCGACTCCTCCAGTCGCCTCCAGTCCGTTGGCGGCTGACGACTCCTGCCGTCAACCGACTCCTGCAGTCGCCTCCAGTCCGGTGGCGTCTGACGACTCCTGCCGTCTACCGATTCCTGCAGTCGCCTCCAGTCCGGTGGCGGCTGACAACTCCTGCCATCTACCGACTCCTGCAGTCGCCTCCAATCCGGTGGCGTCTGACGACTCCCTGTCTACCGACTCCTGCGACCTGCAGTCGCCTCCAGTCCGGTGGCGGCTGACAACTCCTGCCGTCTACCGACTCCTGCAGTCGCCTCCAGTCCAGTGGCGGCTGACGACTCCTGCCGTCTACCGACTACGGCAGTCGCCTCCAGTCCGGTGGCGTCTGACGACTCCTGCCGTCTACCGATTCCTGCAGTCGCCTCCAGTCCGGTGGTGGCTGACGACTCCCTGTCTACCGACTCCTGCGACCTGCAGTCGCCTCCAGTCCGGTGGCGGCTGACGACTCCTGCCGTCTACAGACTCCTGCAGTCGCCTCCAGTCCGGTGGTGGCTGACGACTCCCTGTCTACCGACTCCTGCAACCTGCAGTCGCCTCCAGTCCGGTGGCGGCTGACTCCTTCCGTCTACCGACTCCTGCAGTCGCCTCCAGTCCGTTGGTGGCTGACTCCTGCCGTCTACCGACTCCTGCAGTCGCCTCCAGCCCGGTGGCGGCTGAAGACTCCTGCCGTCTACCCATAGGCATAGGAACGTTTTCAAAAGTGGGGGGAAGGGGGCAGGCTCCCAGAGACCTGAAACCTAACCTACCCCCAAAATCCAATTACTCCTCGGATTTCGGCCACTTTGTTTTCGCAAACATGCTCAGAGGTAAAAAAAAAATCGAGACAAAAAAATGTTTAAAATTTCAGGGAGACTGCCGTCAAGAAACTATGAATATGTCAGACATCAGAGCATTGATTGACAAGGCAGTTAAAGATCGCGTATCCGAAGAAGTGCAGAAAATAGGCAACTCGCTGGCAACTGATTTGCAGAACATAATCCGAAATGTCACTGATGAAATCGGGCGGCTTGGCCAGATGCCGTGTGAAGAATATAGAAGAACGGATCAACGAATGGAATCCGACGACAACAAGCGAGAAGGCAACACGACCAAAAGGGCTAAGGGTAGAAGACGTGAACATCGACAACAACGTACAACATTCAGAAGATGGGATTAAAAAGAAAGGCGAACCAAGGATTATGAAAAAGACGAACCGCAGGACAATCAAGAGGAAGAAAAATGTAAAGGAAACGATCTTAACGATAATGATGGCTGGACGCTTGTCAAAAAGAAGAAAGCTAACAAACGGAAAAGTCGTTTTGCAACCGGAGCTGTGATGATTGGCGGAGAAAATGTAAGACGAGTCAGCATGGCAGCAAATGAAGAGCTCATATTTGAAAAGAATGTCATATTCGCTTCAGCCAAGGAAGTTGACAGCGCTGATGTCAGGAACCATCTTCCTGCTGCCATCAACAAAACGAGCGCCGAACAAGTAGACGTTGTAATCCACTATGGCGAAGAGGCGGTTACTCGATCCACTGTCGATGGCGTGCTGGAGGGCTTCGCACATGTGATCAGCACTGCTAAGAAACAATGTGCCACACGAGATGTATTTGTGTGTTCCGTCCTGGAGAGGTGATGTGGAACATGAAGTAGCCGATGCAGCGCGGCTTGTAAATGAACAGCTAGGAGAGCTGTGCGCGGCGTACGGGGATCTGGGGATACCTGGATCTGCGCGAATGTCTAAATGAATGTGCGCATGGTGGAATTAACCGTACATGCTACCTGTATACCAGAGATGGAGCCAGAAATGTATCTCAGCTCATCATGAGTGAGGTCGCAGGTTTTTTAGACTAGTCACCTCTGAAAACTGGGCCGACCGAGAAAACTCCACCAGTACGCCTGTTGAACCAAACAGTCACGGCCTATGCCCTCGCTCCCTTGGAGGACGCAATGGATCGCAACATCGATCGCTTCAATCCAATCCGAAAGAGGCCCAATTTTCTCACTGCTAATGTAAATGGCATATGTGCAAACACAAAGCAGACTGAGCTTGCATTACTGTTGCACCGATATAACATAGATGTAGCCGTGATCATAGAGACGCACCTGGATCACAACATACCTGACGCACAAATAGAACAAACTGGATACAAGACCATCCGCCGAGACCGAAACTTCACCGCCGTTAACAAGAGTAAGGGAGGTGGTTTGATCCTATACGTGAAGAACGCCATGCAGTACGTGGAGCATGGAGTTCGTGTTCCTGGGCCCAGTTTCACCAAGCTCTGTTTGGGGTAGTTTCGGCGAAACTACCCCAAACCAGTTTCACCAAATGGGGTAGGTTCTGATTGGCCACTTCCAAACTACCCCATGGGGGTAGTTTGAGCTGGTGAAACTGGATTTTACCCCATGGGGCAGAATGGAAATCTACCCCATGCCGAAGTTACCCCACTTGGTGAAACTGGGCCCTGGTGTGTCCTGAAGCCATCGCGTCCAAACAGCATAATTGTGGCAGGCGTTTACCTCCCGCCAAACGCCCATGCAATGCACCAGCGGATGTTAGCTGACCATCTGATAGGAACAGTCGACTATCTTCGCTCACTGAGACCAAAGGCATACACGGTTTTATTAGGAGATTTTAATACTGTTTTCGATGTCGGCTCACTAACCAAACAGCTCTCTTTACATCAGATTGTAACAGAGCCGACAAGGGGCACGTCTATCCTAGATATGATAGTAACAGATATCAATTCACAAAATATGCCGATTAAAGCAGCAGCGGTTGGAACGTCGGACCCCAAGACGGTGCTCTGGATTAATTCTGATGCAAAACATAAAACATATGAATGTCGGACGGTTAGGCCTATTAAGGAATGGGGAATATTTGTTTCTGGTCCCTAAAAAGCTGTTTCTGGCACCTAATTGCTGATCAGCCCCAAAATGCTTATTCGACCCTAATATCTGAATCTGGCACCTAATTGCTTCCACACAGCCTAAAGTTGCCAGATCGTCTAGTTGAACTCCGTATTTGCTGTTTGCTGATTCAGCACCAAAACCAAAACATCCAGCACCTATTTTATTCCACGTTTGCCTACCTAATTCGCGTAATCTTCCTGATTTTATGTATCCTAACAACATGAACGTTGCATTCGGTGATGTCAAGTGCCATTTTCGCCAGTGGAGATAATGATTAATGCCATTTCTAGCCAAAAGAGAATCACTAGCCAGCTATGGTGCAGCATAGCAAGACGCTTCTATACCAGCCCGCTATGTCTTAGAGATTATTGCACCCTCAGCCATTTTAACGTGAAAAGTTTGGATCCGTCACTTCCAGCCAGGCTCTCAGGTCATAAACTGGAGCAAGGCAAAATGTCAACTCTGAACAGACATGCCACGCAACCGGCCCTCTTTTCAATATTATTAGCTTTCTGCAATCATCGTCTGACTCCATAGTCCATCTCGATCAAACGCAGCATCCGGTTTCTACAGGAGCGTTTGACTGATCGGCCACACAATAACCAAAAACAAAATCAAAGCTTCATGCACACATATGCCATACGTAAGAAACGGATGAAAAAGGCACAACCACGGCACAACTCTGCGCGGCAAACAACGGACAATGTCCCACGCAAGATCCCGCGTTTCTTCAGCGGCCTTGAACGGAATGAAAACATTACATTTCTTTTTTGGAGCTATTTGATGACGTCAAAAAATACAATACCCGTTTTAATGGTCAAAATCGAGACAATTACTCACAAAAATGTTTCCCTTTAAGCATTACAAATAAATACTTTTAAATATTTAAATGAGTTTTTCAAAAAATTAATATTATTTGCTTACTTAAACGTCATATACAATGCTGAGATCACTACGGGGCTGTCTTAGAGTGTAGCTGCACTGGCAACCTTTAGGCTAGACTCCAGGGGTCATTATACCAGAACAACATGATTCTACCAGCCAGTAGTTCATTTTTCTACTAGATTGGTGCTACGCTCAGCATTTAGGTGCCAGATTCTTTGTTGTTTATTGGGGCTTTAGGGCGCGTCGACTGCAGAGGTCATTTTGCGCCCATAGGTGCCAGATTCAGAAAAAAAAAGAGTAAGGCGTACCGATGAATAGGTGCCAGAAACAACTAATTAAGGTCATTTTCCATGATTGGTGCTGGTATCCACCAAATAGGTGCTGAGGACCAATTTTGGGGCGAGTCAGCTTTTAGGTGCCAGAAATAGCTTTTCTGGGACGCAATTAAATGGCGTCCTTAAGGAATCTTGTATCAGACGATTCGGACAGTGGATCTGTGAACAAGATTGGC